GTCTGGCATAGAGCTGGCATCTGGCATAGAGCTGATGTCTGGCATAGAGCTGACGTCTGGCATAGAGCTGGCGTCTGGCATAGAGCTGGCGTCTGGCATAGAGCTGACGTCTGCCATAGAGCTGACGTCTGGCATAGAGCTGACGTCTGGCATAGAGCTGACGTCTGGCATAGAGCTGACGTCTGGCATAGAGCTGGCGTCTGGCATAGAGCTGACGTCTGGCATAGAGCTGGCGTCTGGCATAGAGCTGACGTCTGGCATAGAGCTGGCGTCTGGCATAGAGCTGGCGTCTGGCATAGAGCTGACGTCTGGCATAGAGCTGACGTCTGGCATAGAGCTGGCGTCTGGCATAGAGCTGGCGTCTGGCATAGAGCTGACGTCTGCCATAGAGCTGACGTCTGGCATAGAGCTGACGTCTGGCATAGAGCTGACGTCTGGCATAGAGCTGACGTCTGGCATAGAGCTGACGTCTGGCATAGAGCTGGCATCTGGCATAGAGCTGACGTCTGGCATAGAGCTGGCGTCTGGCATAGAGCTGGCGTCTGGCATAGAGCTGGCGTCTGGCATAGAGCTGACGTCTGGCATAGAGCTGACGTCTGGCATAGAGCTGGCGTCTGGCATAGAGCTGACGTCTGGCATAGAGCTGACGTCTGGCATAGAGCTGGTGTCTGGCATAGAGCTGGCGTCTGGCATAGAGCTGACGTCTGGCATAGAGCTGGCGTCTGGCATAGAGCTGACGTCTGGCATAGAGCTGGCGTCTGGCATAGAGCTGGCGTCTGGCATAGAGCTGACGTCTGGCATAGAGCTGGCGTCTGGCATAGAGCTGGCGTCTGGCATAGAGCTGGCGTCTGGCATAGAGCTGGCGTCTGGCATAGAGCTGACGTCTGGCATAGAGCTGGCGTCTGGCATAGAGCTGGCGTCTGGCATAGAGCTGACGTCTGGCATAGAGCTGGCGTCTGGCATAGAGCTGACGTCTGGTATAGAGCTGGCGTCTGGCATAGAGCTGGCGTCTGGCATAGAGCTGACGTCTGGCATAGAGCTGGCGTCTGGCATAGAGCTGACGTCTGGCATAGAGCTGACGTCTGGCATAGAGCTGGCGTCTGGCATAGAGCTGACGTCTGGCATAGAGCTGGCGTCTGGCATAGAGCTGACGTCTGGTATAGAGCTGGCGTCTGGCATAGAGCTGGCGTCTGGCATAGAGCTGGCGTCTGGCATAGAGCTGGCGTCTGGCATAGAGCTGACGTCTGGCATAGAGCTGACGTCTGGCATAGAGCTGACGTCTGGCATAGAGCTGGCGTCTGGCATAGAGCTGGCGTCTGGCATAGAGCTGGCGTCTGGCATAGAGCTGGCGTCTGGCATAGAGCTGACGTCTGGCATAGAGCTGGCGTCTGGCATAGAGCTGGCGTCTGGCATAGAGCTGGCGTCTGGCATAGAGCTGACGTCTGGCATAGAGCTGGCGTCTGGCATAGAGCTGGCGTCTGGCATAGAGCTGGCGTCTGGCATAGAGCTGACGTCTGGCATAGAGCTGACGTCTGGCATAGAGCTGGCGTCTGGCATAGAGCTGACGTCTGGCATAGAGCTGGCGTCTGGCATAGAGCTGGCGTCTGCAATAGAACAGCAACATTGTAATGTAAGGTAGCATCATAGAGGTGGGGGGGGGGGGGGGATCACGTAGCTTTTGGTCGGGCCGGGAAAGCGGCGTCTGGTTTAATTCAATGAACCCGATCAACCAGGAACTTAACACATGTATACATGTACAGTAGAACCTGTGACTACCGACCACCCCTTGGTTCCAGCAAAAGCGGTCTTTAGTAGCAGGTGGTCTTTAGTTAGAGGTTTGCACTACGTGAACATATATGGATCCCACTAGATGATATGTATGTCAAAATGCAGCCAATACAATTCCCCAGGACTTGCGCAATACCATTCTTATTTTAGGTCAAACAACACTTGGAGAGGAAGACGGAGAGATGGAGAGAGTCGGAGAGAGAGAGGGAGAGAGAGAGAGAAGAGTTTAATTTTTTGCAGACATCAAATTCAGCTGCTACTTCTGAACCAAGGAGTCAAACGCTCCCTGTGTAAGTTTCGTTTTGCGCTGGGCTTCAAATTTGTTCTTGCAACCAATTGTACTGACTGTCCTTGTTGTGCGGACTTCTCGATTGCTTGAACGCGATCCGTCAGCATCAGGACCTTGTGGTGCTGCTTGGTTTATGGATTCCTTGATGCCATCGTCGATTCGTCTGTATGACTGGGGTGACAGAGCCGCTCAGTCTTCGTTTCTCCTCCGAGTAGTAACATCGATCAAAGAGCGCTTCCGATGCGCTCTCCAAGACGTTTCCTATCATGTTTATTCTTCACAGAGCTTGAAACTTTGACAGGTGCAGTGCAGTCCACACCGACTGCACAGTCAAAATGACCTGCGTTCATTTGTTCAGCTGTAGTATCGAAAGATTCCTTTCAGGACCTTGAAAATCAGCAAAATTTCAAGAAGGAGCTTCGAGCAACATTTGATTTCCTACATCGCGGTCGCTAGTTACGGGTCAAAAGTCGTCTTTGGGACAAGAAAAGGCGGTCACTGGTCGCGTTCAGCAGGCAGTCGCTAGTCACAGTGCATTTTGAATGTGAGACCGTCCGTGCCTGGCGAAGTGGTCGGTAGTACCAGGCTGGTCGTTAGTCACAGTGGTCGTTAGTCACAGTGGTCGTTAGTCACAGTGGTCGTTAGTCACAGTGGTCGTTAGTCACAGTGGTCGTTAGTCACAGTGGTCGTTAGTCACAGTGGTCGTTAGTCACAGTGGTCGTTAGTCACAGTGGTCGTTAGTCACAGTGGTCGTTAGTCACAGTGGTCGTTAGTCACAGTGGTCGTTAGTCACAGGGGTCGTTAGTCACAGTGGTCGTTAGTCACAGTGGTCGTTAGTCACAGTGGTCGTTAGTCACAGTGGTCGTTAGTCACAGTGGTCGTTAGTCACAGTGGTCGTTAGTTACAGTGGTCGTTAGTTACAGTGGTCGTTAGTCACAGTGGTCGTTAGTTACAGTGGTCGTTAGTTACAGTGGTCGTTAGTCACAGTGGTCGTTAGTTACAGTGGTCGTTAGTTACAGTGGTCGTTAGGTACCGTGGTCTTTAGTTACAGTGGTCGTTAGTCACAGTGGTCGTTAGTTACAGTGGTCGTTAGTTACAGTGGTCGTTAGTCACAGTGGTCGTTAGTTACAGTGGTCGTTAGTTACAGTGGTCGTTAGTTACAGTGGTCGTTAGTTACAGTGGTCGTTAGTTACCGTGGTCTTTAGTTACAGTGGTCGTTAGTCACAGTGGTCGTTAGTCACAGTGGTCGTTAGTTACAGTGGTCGTTAGTCACAGTGGTCGTTAGTTACAGTGGTCGTTAGTTACAGTGGTCGTTAGTTACAGTGGTCGTTAGTTACAGTGGTCGTTAGTTACAGTGGTCGTTAGTTACAGTGGACGTTAGTCACAGTGGTCGTTAGTTACAGTGGTCGTTAGTTACAGTGGTCGTTAGTTACAGTGGTCGTTAGTTACCGTGGTCTTTAGTTACAGTGGTCGTTAGTCACAGTGGTCGTTAGTTACAGTGGTCGTTAGTTACAGTGGTCGTTAGTCACAGTGGTCGTTAGTTACAGTGGTCGTTAGTTACAGTGGTCGTTAGTTACAGTGGTCGTTAGTTACAGTGGTCGTTAGTTACAGTGGTCGTTAGTTACAGTGGTCGTTAGTTACAGGTTTTACTGTATAATGTGTATACAGTAACCATGGGCACCCTGTAGGGAGACCTTACCGTCAGTTGGGAATGCCCAAGTAAAGTAATAAAATACAATACAAATAAAATAAACAACAAAAATAAATCAGCCAATGGATACCTGCCGTGTCCGCCCGAACTACAATGTGCCATGACATAGGCCAAAAGCAAACAAATCCTGTGCACTACTGTCTGATGTTGAAGAACCGGGGGTTCAAAGTATACCATAAGCCGTTCTTATCTTCATGTAGATCACCATCTATTTGGGCCTTTTCGCCTGAGCTACCATGACGACATGTACATCCTCTGCCTTGTAGAATTCTAGCCTGTTCGTTCTTCGGCACATCATTCACCGTTCTTCGGTGCCCGCCAGCACTGTAGGAGAGAAGAGGGGGTGTCATACTTTTGTTAAACTGCTTTTGACATGTGTAATTTGTGTACTGCAGTCGTATTTATTCAGCTTTTATTTCTTGTGTACTTGCATACTGGTATTAGTTTAGTCCCACAATCTGCGATAAAATGATCCGCTGTAGCACCTACTCCACTTTTATGTTTATGTATCTATGTCATTCGGATCTTCCCAAGTTGTACAATGTACTGTTGAGATACCGAATTCAAATAAATCAATACCATACCATACTGAACAGACATTAGTCACCCTTCCCTTGCCGCATAGGGGGCTAGTAATTTTAAAAGAGGCGTGGGCATCCTCTGTGGAATAGTTTTGATGGACAGCAATTTGACTGTGTCTGGCAGACAAAACTTGGTTCTGCGTAATGTCCTCCAGAAGCTTGTAGGCGATGGGGAGCAGTGAAACAGGTTGGTACTAGGCCAAGTAAAAAAAATTATTGTTTATCGTCCGCGCCCGCCCCGATTTTTCGCCCTCCCGGCCGAATTGTTTTATTTTTTAGTTCCAGTAAATGTACTGTATGTACTGCGATCTATGCCCGTACGGCCTCTAATGAGCTTGCCAGTAGTTTTTGGATGGTGAATTCCGCAGATTGAATCATACATAAGAAAAGGTTTGCTCCCCACACCGGAGCTCGCGCTATTCCGCCGACTTTACTTGACACTTGACTTGACCTTTTCTTACAAATCATCGCCGAAGTCGCAACCACTACTTCGTACTGAATCATACATGTAGGTGCTATAGGCTTGAAAAGTGAAAGAGATTATCAGCTGCCTGATTCTCTAAGTAACTAATAAAGTTGTTTCTGGGATTGTGTGTGTGTGTGTTGGTATGTGTGTGCGCTATGCCTGCAGGCTACTGAAAGATGTAATCCGGGTCAGTTGGGGTATGCCTACAGCGTACACAGAAGACAACACAGAAGTGTAGGGCAGCTAGCCAATGTCACAATTCAGAAGAAACACGAGTCTACGCTACTTCACATCACCTATTCAACGAACATTGTGGCATATGGAAGAGAATCGTCTGCCTGGTGGTATGCTGCCATTGATAACCAGAGATGCAGCGAGCCCAGCGATGTAGCAATGCTGCTCTACCGGGAAATTTCAAACAATGTCTACCGACCAGCGTATCTGGATGGTGTTTGTAAAGGAAATAGGCTTGGCGACTTTGGAGCTGGATCACATATCGTAGCTATACACGTGCGAAAGTACGCGGGAGTGCCTTATGTACTGTCCGGCTATGATTCACCATCCACTCTACAGGTACGGGAAATATGTGCACCTTAGCTGGTCACAATCAGAGAGTCGTAAAATACAATGCTTTGCACTCTCGGGAAATAGAAGCTGCTGAACGCTGGCATAGCCAACCCCTGCACACAAGGCCAGGATGGTAAGCGTGAAAATGTTTCGTCATCTCTACTCATCAAGTAAAGCCGATTCTAGCGTCTTCTAGTATCGTTTTTTTGCTTTTTGTTGTTTTCTTACTCAATAATAATGAAAGACAATGATACTGAGACTAGGGCAAATGTCCAAGAATGTTTACTTGTCGTTCTGCAGCCAATAACTGACGAGGTCTGTTCTCGTCATCTGTGCTAAATTAGTCTCACTGTGACAGCTTCCATCTGGGCCTTCTCTTCTTCACTTCCATCTAGGCCTTCTCTTCTTCACTGAATCGGATATCTGCGGCTGTTCGCTTCTAAGTATGTATTGTGTCTTGGCCATGCACGTGCGCTTTGTTCATGACTTCATGCGTAGATCTATGCTTCCTTCTCGCCATCTTTTGGTCTAAAATTGTGCTTCTTTCTCCCTTCCGTTGCGAATGGCTTGGTTGTGCTGGATAGGCTGTCTCTCTCTCTCTAGTTGTGCAGGCAAATGGTGTGTTCCCATATCCAACGTAGCTAGTAGGTACGTTGTTATTTGAATTCGCAGAAACAAACGGGCGGTGTCGCCCAATTACATAGAAGCGAATGGAAACAATAAGTATAATTATTATTGTAGGAAATAGCCTAACATGATAGCAGGGTGTAGTACAACGCAAAGAACGCTCAGTCAATGAATAATGTTAACGTTAGAATACAACACCGGGGTGTGTGTGTGTGTTGTGTCCCATTGCTGTATGATTCCTGCATTGTGTCCCTCCTTCCGTTGCAGCACTCTATCTCCAGGGCAGACAATCGTCAAATACAGGTCACGGATTGACACTCGCTGCCCCCATCACTCAAAGTCATGCTAACGGCCCGAGCGCAGAGTGACCGCAGACCCCTTTGTCGTCATTGTACTTAAGTTAAATTAATACGCCCTTTATTGTAGCAAAATGCAGTATCCGGACCATGATCTGAGCGTCGACTACCGGTATGCAACGACCAACGACCAATTGTCCGAAATGCCTGTTTGAACTGAAGGAAGAGAATGTTTTTTTGCTGATTTCCCCGCCTACAGCACCTACAGTATCAATGAAAACAGTGTGTACAGGATGTATACAGCGGGTTGTCGTCAGCATGTACCCCCTCCTCCCCCTCCCCTTTCATCCACATTGGCCATGGCCCGGGGTAATTCCGAGGAGCTGGAGTGTGCCCAATTCCGGTGGTGTGCTGCCGAAGAGCTGAATGAGGATATTATTTTTTCATTTTTCTGCGATCCCCGAGATCTAAAGTTCAGACTCGGTGTACCAGGAAGCACAAAACTGCACTAGCCTGCAGTCCCGGTACCTGCTGGGAAACTTTTTGTGCTACTCATTATATTAGATGAAAAATAATAGGCAATGTACATGTACATTGTACCAGGTGGTTGAAAAGTAGCAGCCCAGTCTCCAGTAGAAGCCCAGGGTCAGGACTGGTTTACAATATATAAGCGCTGGGTTTATAATGGAGATAATACGGAAGCAGGCAGGCATAGTGAGATGGTCTAAGACCATGATTGAGAAACAGAGGGTACCAGGTTCAAGTCCTGCTTGGAAGCGGAAGGATTTTTTCCAGCCGTGCTGCGACCCACAGTTAATTGGGAACTCGTGGCCTGGCACGAGGGAAACATGGGTGCAGTGAATGGGATTTCGGTCTTTGACCACTTTGTGGTGGGTCTGATCTACTCACCTCCCACCGCTTAGGAGCTGCATCTGCGCCTTGATCCAAGAGGGTGGTGGCGTTCCTGCGGATGCGGAAAACTGGGCCTTTGGCCGAGTCTCACGCGAACCGTGAAATATATAAATATATAATACGGAAATTCACAATACTACATAGTACACTGTCTGTACCACGATTTGCGATGTGACACACGATTTGCGATAGTTGCGACAAGAAAGTGCCTATCGCGAGCTGTCGCTAGCAGTCACAAGGCCAATTACTCGTACCTGTCGCAGAAGTTACGGTAGTTGGAGAAAGTTCAAACTTTTGCAACGTGCGACACACGCAGTTCTACTCTGGATGTGCGTGCTGTGCACATGCAAGCCTAGGCCTAAAGGGGATGTCGCAAAAACATTGAAAGTGAATCGTGTCGCGGTCGCAACTCGTCCCAGATGCATCGATCGCGATGTCGCATGTCGCATCGCAAAAAGTTGCACAGTACTGGGAATCGGCCTTACCTGTTCATGCCGAAGCCATCATCATGCCGCTCGTGCGCGAGTCCTGCTGTCTGATTGCTGATGATTGGGTTCGGTCAAGCTCGAGATCCGAGTCTTCTGGCAAATTGCCAAATTTTTACTTTTTCTATGTACACAAAGGCGTGTAGCGTTATATATTATATACTGCATACCGTATGTCCGCATACCGGTATTAAATAATATAATTTTAAAGCCCCATGGCAGTATATTCGATTACAAAGCCATAGCTTATACTACACACCGGTAGTAATAACACACTGAAGTAGTTCGCATGTAGAGTCAGAGCTCGCTCATCCGGTCCTCTTTTATCCGGATCCCTTGCTATTTACAGCATTCGTGATGTATCCAACATAAACGGTGTTTGGTTATCTGGTTCCCTCGCCTATCCGGATATTTTAAGCGAGGTCTGACTGTAGTCTAAAGTCTAACTGAGCAGACTACGGCAAACCTCTTGGTGTAGACCGCTGAGATAACCGTTCAGTGTAGCTGCACGCATGCACTGTAATACAGGAGATGACAGACCATCGGCCATCAACAACATGTGACGGCATGATCCAAGCATACCATTGTAAAAAAAATACGTCAGCTCTGTGGAAAAAGACCGGCAAACAAAGAAACTGGCGCAAAAAGAAAGAAAAACGCATCTTGATCAAGCATGCATCACTACCCATCACACCAATTATATACAGAACAAACAAAGCAGAAGATGAAAAACTAAAGTTTTAAAATATACGCATATGTGCAATAGGTCTATGTAGAGTTGTCCATGATTCTACGAGTATATTTGAAACATGGTGTTAGCGGTGGCAGCAGCAGCAACAATATACAAAGGAACCGGTGCCCCTGAGCCCCGGACGGCGCATGTACACATGCCCTCGTCCTCTTTACAGCAGAGCGGATACGTCGGTGGCGGATAATGGCACACGTGAGACGAATAACATGAACATACCAAGTGTACAGACAAACCTCTCGGAAAGGCATGAGCAAAGCGGTACTCTAACGGAGCTCGGAGCTCCGCAGAATACGCTCGCTCTAATGTACAGGATCAAGGCTTCCAAGAGAGGGGGAGGGTCATTCAGCATGATCCATCTGTGTATATGTACAACACTGGTACACAACTCCAATCAGTGGAGAAATAAGTGTAATCAGAATATGGGAATGGCTACTAACATGACACAGTGACCAGCCAGCACAGTGAGACAGGCTATACACAGTGACCAGCCAGCACAGTGAGACAGGCTATACACAGTGACCAGCCAGCACAGTGAGACAGGCTATACACAGTGACCAGCCAGCACAGTGAGACAGGCTATACACAGTGACCAGCCAGCACAGTGAGACAGGCTATACACAGTGACCAGTCAGCACAATGAGACAGGCTATACTACTCGCTATCCTGGCTGGTCACTGCAGGCTGTGGCATGGCCGACAGCTCAACAATGTGTGATAGTGGCAGCATATGAAGCGTTACTGTGGTTGCTTAAAAGCAGCTGCTGCTGCTCTGGTGATAGTCCGGATCAGTGCAGCAGAGTACATGCACAGCCACATGAGCACTCCGCACACACGGTCACAAGAGCACTCCGCACACATGGTCACAACGCATCTCGACACGTCGTGCGCGGGCATAACACCATGCATCCGGCTAATTGAACCACAGTGACGCAGCATTCCTGGTGGAGAGACGGACAGTGGACACAAACATCCATGACTAGCAACGTGAACACAGTCAATGTCGCACAAGAAGAAGATGCTTTGGGACATCCGTGTTATTCTCCAACGCATCATCCGCTCAACTTCCTGTCACCATCATAGCCAGCAGCAGCAACAGAGGCAGGTAATCGACACGCAATGTCTGCTCAAAAGCGCATGACAACACCAGTAGATCGGTTTGCGATGTACTACAGCTGAGTACCCAGGAGCCAGGGTGCAGTAGAGTACCCAGGAGCCAGGGTGAAACAGAGTACCCGGGAGCCAGGGTGAAGCAGAGTACCCAGGAGCCAGGGCGAAGCAGAGCACTCAGAAGCCAGGGCGAAGCAGAGTACCAAGGAGCCAGGGCGAAGCAGAGTACCCAGGAGCCAGGGTGAAGCAGAGTACCCAGGAGCCAGGGCGAATCAGAGAACCCAGGAGCCAGGGTGCAATGCAAACAGTAGTACGCGCTGTTGGGAACACTGCATGACACATCACAGCAAGGTTAGCTCTGGGTCATATTATGGTCAAGCCCTGGGTTGGCTGCAGAGGGCATGTATCAAACAAGTGCGCTGACAGCACGGTGGTGAAAAGCACAGTGGCACGTAGAGAAATGGCGAGTGTCTCTAGTTGCTAACACAGCTTCTACACATTGACGACAACGCCAAAGGACTCCGGCGCATCTTCAGGCGTGAGCGGTTGAGCCTCCGCATTGCCTGACGGCCCATATGTCACGTATGCCTGGAAACAGGGTGTGCGTGTGTGAGAGAGAGAGAGAGAGAGAGAGAGAGAGAGAGAGAGAAAGAAAGAGAGAGAGAGAGAAATAGACGCATTCATAGAAAACAATAATTCAAACGAAGCCTGGCACAACAACACACGCGTGCACGCACGCACGCGCGCACACACATACGCACACACACACATGCACGGAAAAAAGAGTGCACCACGCACCTACGAGCAGTCTAGAGACCAGGAAGATAGACGAGGCCCACGACTTGCTACGCCTACGTCAGGCAACCACCCAATGCTAGTACAGTAAATAGCGAGGTTCTGCTACACAGGACGGACATGCAATGCAACATATTCCAGCACTCGCGTCTTTGGGCTTCACATGTCATAACGGACATCCTCTGCTTTCCTCGAACGCAAAGAACTCGCGTCCAATGTGCGGTGAGAATTTTCTCATTCCATGCACGGCAGTTTTCATTCGAGTGATATTCCGCAGATCTGTACGCATCTTCTTTGCACGTGCAACGGCGTAGAGATCAATATCTCTGCATAGAAAAGTGGACCCAAAACACGCAAAGCCGTAGACTCTAACCCAGACAACCGTTCTGTACGTGATTTCTCTACGTTCCGTGCAACGCAGAACCACTCTGTTGACATCATCTCAGCACACTTGCTAGCACAGTCCTGCGCAATGGCGTAATTAATTTGTACCGTAAACGCCCTACACACCGCCACCCGGGCATGGTCGTCTGGGGCGTTGAACAGTGCATGCCTGATCCCAGCGTACTCACATGCATTACTCATACAATCCACATGCATTACTCATACAATCCATATCATTACTCATACAATCCATATCATTACTCATACAATCCATATCATTACTCATACAATCCATATCATTACTCATACAATCCATATCATTACTCATACAATCCATATCATTACTCATACAATCCATATCATTACTCATACAATCCATATCATTACTCATACAATCCATATCATTACTCATACAATCCATATCATTACTCATACAATCCATATCATTACTCATATTATTTATCGCCATCTGCGAAGCACCAACTGGCTCTGGGCAGTCGACTCGCTACGATGATGCTCTCGTCGTTCTCCTCTGTCCCTATCTATGCACCACAACTGGCTCAGACAACCGACTCACCATGATCAGCCATGATGATGCTCATCTCAGTAACAGCCCTTGTAATTTGTTAATAGTCTCACAGTTTCTCCCGCACACTCGCTGGTGTTTAGGCCGTCATCACACCACGTTCTCCGACTCCCGTTTACGTCTACGTCTATGGTGAAAAAACCAAAACGGGTGGTCGTGTCATCAGACAGGCACAGTGCTTGACGCGTACACCACTGTACACGCAGTCAGGTTTTTGGAGAAATTTGAACCCACGTACATCGAAGTACAGGGTCGCTCGGAAAAAGGCTGGGGTAGATACGCACGTTCATACAAAAAGTCGTATACCCCCCCTCTCCATACCACGTCTACGTCTCCCGTTTCCTCTGCTCCCGTTTTCACCCCGTATACGGATCATCATGACAACCGACCAAAAACTCCTTACGTGGACGTAGACGCAGCGCTTTGTACCATGGTGTGATGACAGCCTAACCCTTAAGGCCTTCCTTTCTTTTCATTTTGCTGACTCGTACAGCTCTATCTTTCGTTTTTGGTGCGTGTTTTTGGCCGTGATGCCGAGACCTCAGGTCGGCAGAGCCATCAATGCCCCACCATCACTGCTGCGTCTCGCTGCAGCCCCTGCTCAATAGTTGTCACGTTCGTCCTAGTCTCAGTATCATTGTCTTTCTTATTATTTTCGAGCTGGGAATGTGAACATAGTAAAAGAAAAAAAAAAAAAAAAAAATACAATCCACATGCATTACTCATACAATCCACATGCATTACTCATACAATCCACATGCATTACTCATACAATCCATATCATTACTCATACAATCCATATCATTACTCATACAATCCACATGCATTACTCATACAATCCACATGCATTACTCATACAATCCACATGCATTACTCATACAATCCACATGCATTACTCATACAATGCGCAACGGTCCTATGCAGTGCTGCTCAATGAAATCCAGCCGCGTCACTCAAGTGTGAGCCTTGCACCATTTCGCAGCCTGGTGTTTGCTGCAGGTCTAGGGCTGCCGAACACACCCGCCGGCGCGTACTGGAGCGACACGACTGGATTTCATTCAGCAGCACTGCACATGTACTAGAGTGGTCAGGCCGTGCTCGTACCTGTGGTGATATGCCCTGCGCGCCGTTCGGCATGCAGAAGCTGCGCGTGATGTGCGGCGGCGCCAGGCGGAAGAACGCCTCCTTCTCGATCTGTACGGCCGTCTCGGTGAAGCCGCGGTGCTTCAGAATGCTAGAAATCTGTACAGAGACACAGGGAGATACAAGCACCGTGATGTCACGCATTAAAGCCGGGCTTATTCCTGTAGTAGCCGCTGTCGGAGCTAGGCTTCTATTCACATCAGGCTTCTATTCACATCAGGCTTCTACTCACATCAGGCTTCTATTCAAACCCTGTACTTCTATGTATGTCAACACTAAAACCAGACTAACGTGCCGACAATGTATCTTGAAAATCAGGCTTGTATTCGAAACAGGCTCCTATAGGAGATAGGCAAAACACAAGACACTACCAACGCGTATAGCCGGTTGGTTTGTAGGTTTGCCTGCCAATCATGAGGTCATCATGAGGTCATCATGAGGTCATCATGAGGTTGCGAGTTCAAACCTGCGCTGGGAACAGGGAGTGTGTGTAGTGCTCTCTAAATCGCGGTGATGCGGGCGAGTACCACTTTACATGCAATGAACTGTGCCGACACCCACCGTGAACTGGGTACTCACTTGTTCGGTGTGAGGGTAACAAGGATGCGGTTTATGGAGTTATCGGGCCTTTACACGCCCGCTTGTTGAGAGACGTATCCCCTCTCCCCTGACTGACTTGTGAGGTCTGCATTCGACACTGAGGATATATGGGCGAAGTGGTGGCCCGCCGATGTGAATGTATTCGCTTGATGTGTTCCTGAACACGTCAGGTGATGCGGCCGCGAATCCGGCTAACTTTATTTTTTTTCTTTCTTTTACTACGGTAATGAACAGACTTTGAGACAAGAGAGCAGTTCAGAAAAACACACACAATACGCTCATATCTATTTCTTTTTCGTCTCATGATTGATTCAGTTCGTGAAATTCGGAGTTACAAAAAAAGCAACTGTGTATTTTTCTGTCCGTGTATTCCGCTCTTTGCTTTCGGCAAATTGAGCCTTCTACGGACGGTGGGTGCACTTCACATGGCACACTCAGATACCTCTTATCCGGACCTCTGAGTCACGGGCACCTCAGTCTACCGGGTACCCCGTCGGTGAATTTTAGTGGAAATATTACTACTCTTTTGCTAATTTGCGTGGAAATAGTGACGTCATATACCACATCACTGGCCCTTTCCCATTGACATGTATATGTTCAGAGTTCCGAATATTTCAAAGT